TGTAATAGATTCATATACTGGCGTTTGTACATACATGTATTCACACGAGTATGCAGATACGTATATAGGTGTCCGCCAGCGCGCACCTCAAGCAGTGTGCGTTCTGGCCGTATGTGTATACATATGTGTATATAGACATGTTGTGCAAGCTATGCGGTGCAAACTACGTTCGCAATCTACGCGGTGCTATTTACGTGGAGCAATGTATGTTTTTTTTTGTTGTAAGCGAGTTGGCACATTCCATGCTCTTGCGAACTTCTCACCCACCCACCCGCAGTTTTGTTTACACAACCCATGCATCGGCGATAGCGATGAGTGCTTGGCGTTGGCTGGTGCATGTCTGCGGCCGCGCTGGCCACGGCATGCTCGCGCGCACAGGGGCCAGATAGTTTGGCGCGACCTACGCGGCCGTGGTGGCGCTGACCGCTGAGTACTTCCCAGCGTGCACCTGAGTGCGAGTCGGTGACTTGGGCATGCGCGGTATCATGGCGACGCCGACAACAGTAGACGCGATTATGAGAGTAGCGGTGATGGTGACGATGGTGGAGACGACGACGGCAAGGCCAATGACGGCGCCAATGTTGATCACGCCCGCCGATGACGTTCACGATGTCTTCGCATCAGCAATGAAGGTTTCAAAGGTTCGACATGCGCGCGCGGCCGGCGCGCGTGAGTGGCCAGCGTGGTGGTGTTTGACACGGATCGTGCACCCCTCCAGCAGGCGCGCACTAAACCATACAATTTTCTCAGAGTCCGTATGACCGCGACCGCAGGCGTTTTTGAAAATCAATGCTGCAGAAGCCATGTGTGTTGTTGTTGTGTTCGGGGCATTCGTTTTGAAGTCCTTGCGAAACCAAGGGTTGCCCAAGGATTTACGCATGAGCGGGCGACGGCGCGCGCGCGCGCACGTCGTCCCATTTATGTTGGGGAATTCTTGCGAATTCTTGCGACGGCACGCGCGTAAGGGCGTTCTAACGTTTTCGGCTTGCGTTCGCGAGAGGCCCGTGTGGAAACATTTGATGGCCGTGTTCAGAAGCCAGTGGTTTTTTGTTTTAAGAATTCGTAAGAGCGCGGGCGCCGGTTTTCTGTTGAACGCCTGAGTTGCGAAACCATATGTTTTGATATTTTTCGTGATTCCCGATGCTGAATTCTTACGAACACTTCCCGGTTTTGGAAAAATGCCGGCCGGCATGCGCGCGACGACGTGCGGCTGTGCATTTGTTCCATTTGTCATCAAAGATTTCTGGAAATTGTTGTTTTTAATAAACGAGCGTGCGCGCGGGGGGGGTGATACCGTCTTGCTTGGGAAGGTTCGGGTTCATATATAAGTAAGATGGACGAGAGGGCAGAATCGTACGTACATTGCAATACGAAGAAGTGGTTGGTTAACCCCAGGGGGGATATTTTTTGAGACAGACGTATGTTGTGCACTCTACGTTATGCAGTATATCTATGTTGCAACGCTGTGTGCGGCATTGCGTTGCTTCGTCAGCTTGGTGTTGGTTTGCGTTGGTTTGCTCTTGCATGGCATATCTTTGCAGTGTTCTGCATTGCGTTGCGCTGCTTGCGTTACTTCGCATTGTTTTGCATTGCCTTGCGTCGTTTTGTCGCGTTGTGTTTCGCATTGCTTTGCACAGCGTTGCTTTGACGTGCTTTGCATTGCTTCTCTTCTTGGAGCACCGCGTGGGGCGCAATCTACACATCAGTTCCGTGGTCATCGTCGCCGTCGCGTTGAATTTTGCGCTGTCTGGATTGCGCCGCGTGCATTGCATCGCGCAGATTGCACGCAACGGTTGCAAGATATTTCACAACATAAATTTGACAACGTTGGGTGTGTCACGCATATTGCACCACGCGCACTTCACATCATATATTGCACAACGTAGAAAGTACCACGTATATTGCACCACGCACATCTTGGGTAACGCCGGTTGTCTTAAACATATTGCTGTGGGTCCACGCTGGTCAACATAGATTGTGCAGCCTATGTGGTGCATTTTATGTGGTACAATTGACGTTTACCCATGGTTTGACACATCTTACGCTCTTGCAAACAGCCCACCCACCCACCCGCAACTTGCTTTGCAAAACTTCTTAAGACCGACTACGACGACACCGACGACAACGACTACGACGACAACGACGACGTCTCCGACGACTTCGACGACGACGCCGACGACGACGACGACGAAGACGACGACGACGTCGCCAGCGAAGACGACGACGAGGGAGGAGGGAGGACGACGACGGCGATAGCGACGACAACCACGACAACGACGAGGGAGGAGGGAGGACGACGACGACGCGAACGACGAAGAAGGAGAAAGGACGGCGACGCCGACGACGACAACGACGAGAGAGGAGGGAAGACGACGACTACGACGACGACGACGACGACGACGGCGACGAAATAGGAGGGACGACGTCGAGACGCCGACGACGGACGACGACGACGACGAATGAGGAGGAGGAAGGACGACGACGGCGACAACGACGACGAAAACAACCACGACGCCAAAGAGGACGACGACGACGAACACGAGGAATGACAGAGGACGACGTAGGCGACGACGACGACGCGGGAGGAGGGAGGACGGCGACGACGACGACGACGACGACGACGCAAGAGCGCGCGCGCACGCTTTTGTTGAACATCCGTGTTGCGAAACCTTGTGTTTTTGTATGTTTTTGGGACACGATTTTGAAATCCTTCCGAAACCGATGGGTTTTGAAGGAATTCGGCGTACGCGCGCGACGACGCGCGCGTCTGCACCTCGTCCCGTTTTTTGCAAGGGTTTCTCGCGACGGCTCACGCGCAAGAGCGTTCGACAGATTTCGACATGCGCGCGCGCGAAGCCCGTTTTGGTAGCATGTAGTGAAAATATAGAAAACCTTCTACGGTTTTCTTAAGGTGTCGCAAGAGCTTGCGCGTAAGCTGTTTTAGCAAATCAGTGTTGCGAAACCCTGTGTTTTTGTATGTCTGTCTGTTGGACACTCGATTTCGAACACCCTCCGGCACCGAAGGTTTTTGAAGGATTTCGGCATGCGCGCGCGACGACGCGCGCGTCTGCACTTCGTCAAATCTTCGGCAAAGGATTCTCGCGACGGCACACACGCAAGGGCGTTCGACAGATTTCGACATGCTCGCGCGCGAAGCCCGTTTGGTAGCATGTTGTGAACATATTGAAAATCTTACGGTTTTTTTCTAAGATTTCGCAAGAACTCGCGCGTAAGTTTTTTTAGAAAATCACTGTTGCGAAACCATGTGTTTCCGTATGTTTTTGGGACGCTCGATTGCGAAATCTTTCTGCCACGGAAGGTTTTTGAAGGATTCCGGCATGCGCGCGCGACGACGAGCGCGTGTGCACTTCGTTTCATTTTTTGCAAGAGATTCGCGAACAAATGCTATGTTAGAAGAGCAAATGTCCCCGCGTGTCGTTTTCTACAAAGGAACCCCAGGGGGGCCGATACCGGCTCCCTGGGGATAGTGTAAATTTCCTATTTAGGATGGACATGTGGTCATCATCGTATATGGTTTACGTACCCGAAAGGGGGGCGGATAACGCCGGGGGGGGGTAGAGTCTTGTAAAAAAAGCGACTTCACTTTGACCGTCTTGAAGCTGTCCTCTCCACTGCTCGTGCAAACATTCCCCCCTCCCACCCGCAATTTGGTCGCAAGACTTCTGAAGACCACGACGGCAGGTACCACATGGCACTTGGCCACGACACCGACGACGACAGCGACGACGACGACGGCGCCGCCGACACCGACTACGATGACACCGACGACGCCTCCAACTACGTCGACGACGACAACGACGACGACGACATCGACGACGACGACGACGCCGACGGCGACGACGATGACAACGCCGACGACGACGGCGACGCCGCCGACGTCGCCGACGACGACGACGAAGACGACGACGACGTCGCCAACGAGGACAACGAGGGAGGAGGGAGGACGACGACGGCGACAGCGACGACAACGACGATGACGACGAGGGAGGAGGGAGGACGGCGATGACGCGAACGACGGAGAAGGAGGAAGGACGGCGACGCCGACGACGACAACGACGGGGGAGGAGGGAACGCGACGACGACGACGACGACGACGACGACGGCGACGAAGTAGGAAGGACGACGACGAGACGCCGACGACGGACGACGACGAATGAGGGAGGAGGAGGAAGGACGACCACGGCGACAACGACGACGGAAACGACCACGACGCCAAAGAGCACGACGACGACGAACACGAGGAATGACAGAGGACGACGTAGGCGACAACGACGAGGACGACGCGGGAGGAGGGAGGACGGCGACGACGACGACGACGACGACGACGCAAGAGCGCGCGCGCACGCTTTTGTTGAAAATCCGTGTTGCGAAACCTTTTTTTTGAAGGTTCTTTGGACACGCGATGTTAACATCCTTCCGATGCCAATGTTTTTTTGAAGGATTTCGGCATACGCGCGCGACGACGCGCGCGTCTGCACTTCGTCCCAGTTTTTGCAAGAGGATTCTCGCGACGGCACACCCCAAGTGCGTTCGACAGGTTTCGACATGCGCGCGCGCGAAGCCCGTTTGGTAGCATTTTGTGAACATATTGAAAAATCTAAGGTTTTCTCAAGATTTCGCAAGAGTTCGCGCGTAAGTTTTTTTAGCAAGTCTGTGTTGCGAATCCCCATGGTTTACCGTAGGTTTTTGGCGGATTTCGGCATGCGCGCGTGACGGCGCGCGCGTGTGCCCTTCGTCGCATTTGTTGCAAGGGATTCGCGAAACAGTTCTATGCTAGAACAACATCTGTCCCCGCGTATTTTTTTCTACAAGGGAACCTCGGGGGGGTCTATACCGGCTTCCGGGAGTGTGTTAATTCATATTTAGGATGGACATGTGGGAGAGGGGAACGGATAACGCCGGGGGGGAGGGGTAGAGTCTGTTTTTTTTTTGACAGGAGAATTGAATTGTACAAACGAATTAGCACATCCCACGCTCTTGCAAACATCCCACCCACCCACCCGTAACTTGGCTTGCTAAGCCCATGCGGCGACCGTTTTGATGAGTGCTTGGCGTTGGCTGGTGCATGTTGGCGGCCGCGCTAGCCCGCGCATGCTCGCGCGCACGACGGCCAGCTAGTTTGGCGCGACCGACGCGGCCGTGGTGGCGCTGACCGCTGGGCACGCCCCAGCGGGTTTCAATGCGAGTCGGTGACGTGGGCGGGCGCGGTATCATCGCGACGCTGACAACGGTAGACACGATTGTGAGAATAGTGTTGATTGTGACGATGGTGGTGACGAGGACGGCAAGGCCAATGACGGCGCCGATGTTGCTCACGCCCGCCGATAACGATGACGATGCTCCCGCGTCGGCGATGACGGTTTTAGAAGGAGTTCGACATGCGCGCGGCCCGCGCGCGCGAATGGCCCGCGTGATACTATTTGACACGAGTCGTCCCTTCCCCCAGCATGCGCGCAAGGGCGTTCGAATGATTTCGGCACGCAGCGCGAGAATCAGTTTAATGAAACATATTGGAAAGCCGATGCCTTCTTGAAGGATATGCAAGCATTCGGGCGTAGAAATTATGGAAAACTGGTGTTGCCAATCCGTGTGTGTTACATGCTTCCCGTGCAATCGATTTTGAAGTATTTTTCGAAACTGACGGTTTTGAAACAGGATTTCGGTATGCGCGCGCGACGACGCGCGCGTGTGCTCTTGCCCCCATATGATTGCAAAAGGGGTTTTCTGCGAGCGCGCAAGGACATTTTAACGATTTCGACACGCGCGCGCGAGAGGCCAATTTGGAAGATGTTGTGAAGATGTTGAGAACCGGCGTTTTGTATACAGCGACAATTCGCAAAAGCGCGGGCGCAAACTTATTTTGCAAATCGTGCGTTTCATAGTCATGTGTTGTTTGTATGTTTTCGTGGCGCTCGATTTTGGCATCCGTATGACACCGAAGGTTTTTCAACGATTCCAGAATGCACGCGTGACTACGCGGGCGTGTGCACTTCGGCCCGTACTTTGCCAAGGATTTTTGAGAATGGATGCCTCTTCATACACGAACGCGCGCGCATGGTTTTTGTTTCAAAGGATGGCGGGGGGGATTTGATACCGGCTTTGGAAGGATGGTACGAATTCATATTTAGGACTGACGATGGGGCAGAAACGTATGCAAATAGTTTTACGAAAAGGAGGCGGTTCAGTCCTGGGGGGAGGTAGATCCAAAGTCTATTTTTAGAACGGGGGAGAACACACATACATACATGTATACATATATATATATATACATACATACATATATACATATATGTTCCAAAATATATTTTTAGAACGGGTGATAACACACGCACATATATATACATACATATATATATATTCGCACGTATCTAGGCATATATAGGCGTATATACACATATATGGGCATGGTGCAATCAAAGTTATGAAACATATATAGTGCAATGTATGTGGTGCAAACTACGCTGTGCAATTTATGTGGTGCAATATCTGCTGTGCAGAGCAGGCCGTGTAAAGCAAGTTGTTGCAATGCACAGCAACGCAGAGCAATACAAAGCAGGACGAAGCAGCAATGCACAGCACTGCATAAAAGTACAGAAAACAATGAAGAGCCAGGCAACGGAATACGAATCAACGCGCGTCAATAGACACCAGTGCAAAGCAAATCAAATCAATCAAGCTAAAACAACGCAAAGTAACGCACAGCAGTGCGAAGCAAGGAAAAACGGCAAAGCATTGCAAGTTATTGCGGAATGATGCATAGCGATGCAAGGCAACGCTAAGACATGCAACGGAATGGGATTACAACGCAGTGCGGTTGCATTGCAATGCAATGTAAGCAATTCAATGGGATGCGCAGCGGTTCAAGGCAGTGCGAAGTAATGCAAACCAATGCAAGCCCAGATGACGGGCGGCGACGGGGCGGCGACGACGACCGCGGAGCAGCTAGAACACCACGGCGGCGATGGGGCGGCGATGGCGACCACGGAGCCGCCAGACCGCCACGCAGGCCCAGTTCCTCATTACAAACAAGCGAGCACCTTTACGTGCAAGCACTGCTTGGGGCATCTGTATGTGTATACATATTATATATATGTATATGAATGTAAATAGATATACTGCTGGCCATCGGCTCATCACGCCACCGTGCCTGGGTTGTGCGTCAGACGCTCTCGGGATGCCTTGGGGGATCCCTTGAGAGGCCTATCGGAAGCTTCTCGAATTGGGGTGTTCTGGGGGCCTCTATGGTTCTGGGCCCTATTTTGAAGTTTTTCAGTTTCTTTTGGCACTCCTGGGGGGCTCTTCGGATGCCCATGGGATCCCCTTTGGACCTTCCGAAGGCCTCTCATAACTTTTCTAAAAACCTTTATTGCCTATTGCGGGCCTGTCGGGGCAAGCCTGTCGGCGGCCTCGGGGGGCCTCGGCAAGCCTGTCGACGCCTGCGTAGGAGTAGTTGTTAATATGACGTTGTTTGCCAGCGAGGTCTCCGCACAGTTAGTTTTTGCACTCTGAACGCGTAGGTCGTGTAGTGCAGCCGGTCTGTTGCAATTAGTTCATTTTCGCAAAATCGTGAGTTGTCAATTCGATTGTTCGCGCAAACATCCCATCTTCCCACCCGGAACTTAGGTTGCAAAGCTCAGTGGCCGCGATTGCGGTGGTTCCTCGGCCGTTGTTGGCGCATCTCTGCGGCGGCGCTGGCACGCGCACCCCCGCGCGTAGAGAGTCCAGCTAGTTTGGCACAGCTGTTGCGGCTTTTTCAGCTGGTTTGCCGACGCGCGGGCATTTGAGTTTGGGTCCGTGATTTGGACGGGAGCGGTATCATGATGACGTCGGCAACTATGTCAAATATTATGATACCAGTTATGGTGATGGCAATGATGACGATGACGGCGAGAAGGGCAATGAGGGTGCCGATGCTGGTGATGACCATGACGATGGTGGTGTCCACGTGTCGGTGATGACGGTAATTGACGAGTGATGGCGGCAATGCCGGCAATTAGTGATGACGATGACGGCGGTGATGCGATGGTGTTGATGCGGTTGATGGTTAGGAAGTGCGTGTGCGTCGGAATGTAAGAAGCCAGGTGAACCATTAGTTGAACAAGCATGCGATTGTATTCTTTACCTCTACCTTGGCATGCTTCGACAGCCAATGCAGTATAAGGATTTCGGTACGCATCGTGGCGGCGCTCGCGTGTTGCCCCTATTGCATTTTCTGATACGGATCCGTGCACTGGGCGCATGTTAGTTAAACGCAGATGAACTGCGTGGTGAGATGAGAATGCGGATTCTGCTGTGTTCGAAAGTGTTGAGATTCTAAGGTTCCCCAATGGCTTCGTCAATTGCGCGCGAGCAGGCAACGCGCAAGGATTGTCATCAAAACGCCTAATGTGTTTCATGTGTTCATGTTGAGATGCTTGCTGAACTCGTGCGTGTTGGTGTGATGTTTGCAGGCGCGCGCGGGTGGAATTTGAGCAGTTTCTGTTGCACGGGGTTCTTGAATATTGATATTTTGAAATGGACAAGTGCGTGCGCATGTTATTATTTCACAGGGGGGGCGGTCGAAGCCGGTTTGGCCCAGATGGCATGAGTTAAAAATGAAGGAAATAATAGGACCATCGGTGAAATACAATTCAAAAATGGGGCGGTTAACTCCGAGGAGAGGGTGGTTGAGTCTCCCTTCCTTTCGAAAAGAGAATTATGCAAGTCAACAATACATTGTCAATTCCACTGCTCGCGCACGCATTCCACCCTTCAACCCGCAAATTGTTTTTCAACGCCCATGCCGCCGCGATTGTAGTGATTGCTTGGCCGTGGCTGGCGCGTCTCTGCGGCCGCGCTGGCGCGCGCACCCTCGCGCAAAGAGCCCCCAGCTGGGCTGGCACAGCTGATGCGGCCCCGATGTCGCTTACTGGTGGGAATTTCCCAGCGCGTCTCAAAGACCGCGCGGGCGCGCGGGCATGTTAGTGCGGGTCGGTCATTCGGGCGGGCACGGTATCTTGCGGATGTCGACAACGGCGGAAACGACGATAGTAGTGATGGTTGTGGCGATGGCGGCGATGACGACGGTCAGGTCAATGATGATGATGTTGGTGAAGATGATGGGGTTGATGTCCACGTGTCGGTGGTCAAAGTGATTGGTTGATGATGGCGACTAATGATGACGATGACGGAGGTGACGCGGTGAGGTTGACAAGGGTGATAGTGAGGAAATGTGCGCGAGCAGAAATTCAAGAAGCCAGGCATGTGTTCTGTTGTAAGATTGTGTGCTGTCATTTGTTTCCGTAGCAAAAGCTTAGAAAGCAATGGAATCGGACGGATATCGACACGCTCGCGTGGCGGCGCGCACATGTGGCGCGTATTCTTATTACTTGGCACGGATTCGTGCACTGGGCCCGCGCTAGATCAACACAGATACACGGCGTTGTGAGACAAGAATTTGGGTTCTGGACGAGATTGCTAGAACTGGTATGGTTCTAGCAGATGTCAGCAAGGACACACGGGCAGGAAACCTGACATATTCTGATGAGGACAAGTCATCAATATATCTGTTTCTTGACATGATTGCAGAAGTCAAGGGTTGAGTCTGATTTCGACATCTGCGTTCGCGTGTGGATTGTTTTCGTTGCATAGGATGGTTGCGTTTGATAGTAAACGAGAGATCGCGCTGCATCGCCGATGCGCCCGCGATGCACCTCAATGTGGAGCCCAGTTTTCTCCATGCTGGCGGAGCCGATGCGTCGGCGATGCGGCCCTATCCTCCGTCCTTGTCCACTCGGACCCCACCTGGGAGGCCTACACTACCACGTCATCCACCCGGCTCAAACCGCAAGGTGCCGCTTCATCCGTCATTCTGACTAGTAGCCAGTCGCACTGGTTGGTCATGGAGGCACCCTTGGCGATCCAAGTTGTTGTGGAGGCCTAATCCGATAGCCCTTATAACGGCGACGATGGAACACAGTGCCGGGGAACTGCTTTGAACATCACCAGTCGTTCAAAGCAGTGCCCCGGCACTGCTTTGAACGATGCGGAAATGCGATCAGCAGGAGCCTTCGTCTGTTCCTTCTCCTCTTCTCGTCGCTGTATGCTCTTCCTTGTCCTCCCTCCTCCCCCGTTCCCTCTCTAATTAATTACCTCGTTCTCCCAGTCTCACGCGCACTCTTCCTCCCCCCTCTCCTCCTCCTCTTCCTGCTTCTCCTCCTCGTCCTCCTCCTCCTCCGCCTCCTCCCCCTCATTTGTTATATTTCTCCGTCCTTGTCCTCCTGTCCCCGTTTTCCTTCTCCCTCTCCTCCTCCTCCTCCTCCTCGTCGTCGTCGTCCTCCTCCTCTTCCTCCTCCTCCTCCTCCTCCTCCTCCTCTTCCTCCTCCTCCTCCTCCTCCTCCTCCTCCTCCTCCCCTTCTTCCTCCTCCTCCTCCTCCCCCTTTTCCTCTCCCTCCTCCTCCTCCTCCTCCTCCTCCCCCTTCCCCCTCTTCCTCCTCTGCTATCACTCCTCCATAATTCCTGTCCGCTCCTCCCCTTCACTGATCTTCCTCTTCGTCATCATCATCCCTTTCGTCGCACGCCTCTTAATCCTCAATCGGTTCCCAATCTTCTCGACTTTCTTGTCATCCGCGTCCTTGGCTGTTGGAGGGGCCTCAGGAATTCTCAGGGCTCTTGTGTTGCACGCGAAGGCACACCTCCCAGGAACGCATCATCCTCCTCACATTCACCCTCCTCCTCCTCATCCTCCTCCTCCATGCACGTTCGGCTCAAGCCCGCGCCGACGGTAGGTTTCACGGCGGTTGGGCGGGCTCGCGCCCGCCTCCGCGGCCTGCAGTCGGGGCAGAGATGCGTGCAGGGTGGGATGACAAAGCGGAAGAGGAAACACGGGCCGCAGTTGCGGATTCTTCAAAGAGCAGCGGCGGCGGTTGGGGAACAAGTGGGGGTTGGGGCGGCCGCAGTGGCGGATACGGCGGCGGAGGTGACCGCAGTGGCGGCTGGGGCGGCGGAGATTCTCTTGGCGGATGGAGAGGAAAAGCGCAGGATGGCGGCGACGGAAGTGACCGCAGTCGCGGATGGGAGGGCGGCGGATGGGGCGGCAACGGATGCGAGGGTTGGGGAATGGAGGGCGCCCGCTGGTGGGACGACGAGGGTGGCTGGTGGAATGCATGGGAAGGTGGCCGCTCGAGTGCCTCGGCAGGTTCTCCTGCCGCGGAGCCCGCGGCCGCAACAGCGGCGGGCAAAGGAGGCGGTCCCCTGCTTCCCCCAGGGCGCGAAGAACAAGGCGCAGTTGCGCTGTTTCAAATTGTGCGCAATGAGCCGCTGCCAATTTTCAAGTTGGAATTCTTCGAGAACTTCAGGGCGAACTGGAACGGCAATTATAAGCAGCACAACGCGGCCTTGAAGTGGTTCCGAGACGAGTACGAAGACCGAGAAAACCCTTTCGGCACGCCCGTCTTCGGAGGTACCGCAGTTGCGGAGGAAATTTCGAAGATCCTTAAGTACCGCGCAAAGGGGAAGGCGCAGGACAACAGGGATTGGGACTGGGACCACACTGTCAAAGTGCCGTGGTCTTGGCTGGAGATGGTCGCGCAGATGGATGGACCTACAATGCTGCGCGTCGTGTGCGGCCCTGACAATGACCGCAGTCGCGGGTTGGTCCGCTGCGAGTGCCGCCCGTGCCCTAGCAGTCTCGACAACATGAGGCACACGAAAGGGGTGGACAGAGGACAGGCGCAAAGAATCCCTCTGCCCCAGTGGGATTTCGTCCTCATCCGCGACGACGGCTCGGGCATTCGCGTCCACCCATCCTGGTCTAGCCCGAAGTTCAACACGTATGAGGTGGAGCCGCACTCGCATCCCGTGCGGGGCCCGAGGGCAGGTCTCGGCAAGAGCGATGGCCACGGAACGTTCACGTTCTGGAAGATGCTGCACGCCCATCCGAATCCTGGGCGGTTCGACGCGAGCAAGGGGGCGCAGCTGCAACCGCGGTGGTCCGCGCAGCCTTGACACCGCAGTTGCGGGATTGCGCAGCCATGGAACCGCAGTTGCGGGGACCGATCGCGTGACGCCGCGCTCGTTTGACTCACTATGCGCGCTTTCGGCCGCAGTTGCGGCGCTGCCTTCTAGCGACTTCATACAGCTTGGCCGCAGTTGCGGCGCTCCCACGACTGACCGCTGTAATTAGGTGCTTCGGGCGCGCATCACCTCCGTTGAAGCACTCGTGACGTTAATTAGCGCGGCCGCAGTTGCGGAGACAGGTACTTAAACAGATGGATCCGCAGTTGTTCGTCGTCCTCGTCGCCCCTTCCCCGTCGTCCTCGTCGCAGTCTCCTCCCTCCGCCTTTCCTCCTCGTCGCAGTTCCTTCCGTTGGCCGTAGCCCGCCTCCGTTGGCCGAGTCATTTCCCGTCGTCCTCGTCGCAGTCCCCCCCGAGGGCCGCAGTTGCGGACTTTGTTGATTCCTCCTCCTCCGTTTCTGCCCCGTCATCCTCGTCGCAGTCCCCTTGCTCCTTTCACCCTCGTCTGAGCTCTTCGCGCCATCCTCTTCCGTCGCGTCCTCTCCATCCTCCTCTTCGCCTTCCTCGTCCTCATCCCCGCCGTCTCCCTCGTTGTCCTTCCTCTCCCAAGCCGGCCGCAGTTCCCCCGTCGGACGGGGGCCGCGCGCGGCCACGCCATGGACCCAGGTCGCAAAGCCGAGGTCGACAAGCGGTTCGCCGAGCTGAAGCAGCAACTGCGGGAAAGGTTCGGCCTGCAAGGGGCTGCCGCGGATGCCGCAGTCGCGGAGCCGACGGAGGACCGCAGTTGCGGAAGCCCCGAGCGACCGCCGCGCGAGGCCTCCCCGCAGTCGTCTAGCTCCTCGCGGGAATATCGGCCGCCGCCGCCGATAAGCGCTGCGAGTGGGAGCTCTGCTGGTGGGAGGCGCGAAGAGGCGCAGTTGCGCAGGGCGCACTTGACCCCCAAGGCAAAATGGGGGCCTCGGGCGCAGACGCCGACGAAGCAGCAGGACCAACCAGCAGTGACGGGAGCCGCCACCGAGACCGCAGTTGCGGGGGTGGCCGGCGAGCCAGGTGCCGCGCGCGGCTCATCTGGGAGCAGCGCGCCCTCGGCCGTGCTGCTCGCAGCCGAGTCCAAACGAGGCGCCCAACCCGAAGACGAGGCCGCCTCCCAGGAGAAAGCCGCCGAGACAATCGCCTCGGCCGATTCGCGGCCGAGGAAAAGGCCGCCTCCCACGGAAGGCTCGCCGCTGTCAGAACCGCAGTCGCGGGGTCGCGCGGGGCCTCCGTCGGAACCGCAGTTGCGGGAAGATGCGGGAGCACCGCGGAAGAAGCAGCGGACCAGGTCCCCTCCAGGGATAAACTACGTTGGGGAACGCCCCAAGTGGAACGAAGGATTCCTTCGTACAGCAGACGGCAATCGGGTTCCGTCCACCATCGCTTTGGTGTTCAACGTGGTGGTCATCACGAAGGTGGCAACAAAGGAAGATGTCTTCAGGTGCATCTTGCACCAAACTGCGGCGGTCGTCTTCGTCGTATGGGACCCCGAGCTGTTCCGCACGGGGAACGTCGAAGGCGCTTGCAGCTACGACGTTCCCGTTGGACTCAGGACTGCCGTCGAAGACGCTGTCACTTTGAAAAACAACACCGCGGAGCCTTACTGGACGACGGTTGGCCTGTTCAGAGACACGGGCGTGGTGCTCGTGCGCCCGCACATCATCGCAGAGACCGCAGTTGCGGGTCATGTTGTTGGGGCCACCCACGCCGTCACGATCCTGCGCTTTCGCCTGAAGGGCTCCGACATGAATCCTGCCGCGGTGATCCGTTTTGCCGTCGTGTCCAGACACGCAGTCACCGAACGTCTCCAACAGAAGATCACGCAATCAGAACAAACAGCGTGGCATCCAAGTTTCTTCAAGGACGCGGTTGCTTCCATCCATAAAAATGATGTGCGGTTCTTGTGCGGCCTGTTTGACATCCCGCCTGAGCAGCTCCAAGCATTTGGCCGCAGTTGCGGAGCCAGCTACACCTGCCCGATGGGGGTGGTGCTCAGGGCTGGACCCGCCCTGTTCGGAGGCCTTGTGGAGGGCACACGCGTCATGCATCCGAATTACGTCCTCCCCATTGGCCCGTGCGACGTGCGCATTGCGGACTACAACACGGATTCTGCAGGGAGGCCGTCGAAGAACGATCCCCAGTGGCTCCCTGATTGGATGCATCGAACAAGCGACTCCATCATCTCTCGGCGCTGGGTCCCAGCGAAGTACATGCCCAAGTGGGAGGATGACCCTGACCGCAGTAGCGGAGTCAGAAGAAAGCTCGGCTTGGCAGCGCTGCCCCCCATCGGCAAGGTCATTCAGAAGGAGCTCAACGATAAGACCTTCAGCACGCACTGGTGCGAGGGCATCCACCAAAACGTCGTCTTCGTCGGCCACGGACGCCAGAGTCGGGCGAGCAAGCGGAAGCACGAAGAGGCGCGATCTGCCGCAGTTGCGGACGAGCGGTGAGTGCGGCAAGACCGAGGAGCCGCAGTTGCGGAACAGAGCTCGGTACTACTGGGCGCCTGCTGCCTGCGTAGTGCATCCCATTAGCGATGGAGTGCATGTTGCGGTGTAGGATAGCCCGCAGTTGCGGGGTTGCGGTTGCGAAGCCGCAGTTGCGGTTGCGTATAATAGGAGAGCACGCGGTTGCGAAGCCGCAGTTTGCAATAATTAAGTGTGCGCGCGCTGGGTCATCATCATCGTCGTCGTCCGTCCTCGTCGTCGTCGCTGCCGTCGTCGTCGTCGCGTCTGTCGTCTGTCGTCAGCAGTCGTCGTCGGTCGTCGTCGTCGTCAAGTCTGTCGTCTGTCGTCAGCAGTCGTCGTCGTCGTCGTCCCTCCTCCCTCCTCCCTCCTCCCTCCTCCCTCCTCCCTCCTCCCTCCTCGTCCTCCTCCAGGCCGCATCCCCCCGCCACCTCCGTCCTAGCTCTCCTTCCCCTTCCCCTCCTCGTCCTCCTCCAGCTTGCACCCC